TCCATGGCTGTGAAGATATATTTCTTCCCCCCTCCACTCAAATTCATCCTTTTTGTGTAAAAATAAAATTAGACATTCCTCGTCGAATGTGTGGAAACGGGAGTGAGTCACTGTCGCGAGACTTGTTTGGCGATAATCGTTCATTCGGGTTTGGGGAATATTCCCGAAAGCCGCGTTGCACCTTGCAGGGATTCTCCTCATTCCTGGTCTGTGTCTGCTTGAGCCTAAGCCAAACAGAGCGCAGCAGAAAGTGGTGGTCACAGTCTGCTGACTAAGGTGACTAGTGGGGGGGGTCAAAGGTCTGCTTGTGTTAATAGGATGTGATGGGCTGCCCTGGGACCTCAGTCCCCATGAGGGTTAACCCCCTAATCGGTATTAGTTAATGTGTTGGTAATCTTTACCTTCTTAAAGCAAACAGCAGTGGAAGACTCAATGGGCCTGCTTGGCCTCCCATGTAACACTTTTGACCCCGGGGTCACGGCCTTTGTTCCCCGCTCGATGGGGAGTGCCCTCTAAGGTCTCGGGTGTAATGGAGAAGTTGTTTAGACACGTGCACGGGCTTAACCAGGACCACCTCGCAGATCCCGCTCCCGGAGAGGATAAAAATCATCCCTCGTATCGAAGGGGGATACCCGTGGAATATTTTCACGGGGCGGCGCGGCGTGCCCAGATGTTGACGCGGTTGCGGTTTGCTGACCACGCACACAGCTGCCCGTCTCCCACTTCCCAAAGCCTCCCTCGTGTTTGCAAGCGTTGTTTGTCTTTGCGGATCCCCTTGCCCTCTGCAACTTCATGTTGTTCCAGCTCTCCTCATTATTCCCTTTTAACGCTGAAAAGGAAACCTTAAAGAACAAGGGTGGGGGGGAGGGAAGTGGAGAGAAGAGGACCTTTTACAATGTAGCGTCATCCCGTCCACTTATCTGACAAATGGCTGACAAATGTCTTTTTAATCACTTGAATGTGCGTTTGGTGTGATATCCTGGCTACAGGTAGCGTCAGATGAGGAGAAAAAAAAGCCTGAGTTTGAGTTTATTCAAGTTACTGATATGCATAGGATAAATAATAATGATAAGAATAGTTAAAAAAAAGTGTGCAAGAATTAAGTTGCCACTTAACTCTTAACATTTGAAGTGTTTGGAAATATATTTTCAATCTCTTTAAACGCAATTTGACGTGTTCTTGTGTCCCGTTTTTCCCGATTTCCAAATCTCAGAAGCCGTGTTACTTTTTAAGACTTAACGTGTTACTTTTTCTTTTTTTTTTCTTTTTCTCCCCAGAACGTCGCAATCTATAACGCGGCCCCCGTCCGCCATTTTGTTTCTCGACGCATCGATGGCCCTGATTGACAGACTTCTGCAGCTGTGCACTGCAGGGCAAGTCAGTGTTGTTCTTCTCTCCACCTTTTCAGTAAGGGACATTTTTATAACGTCGCCCAAGATTCTTCTGCCGTTACTCTTTGACGATTTTGACGTGAAGCAAAAAGCAAAACCCAGAAAAAGCACAAAATGTTGATTTGAGCTTCTCTGCTAAATGATAGAAAGTTCTTTGCATTTCATCCGACTCTTTCGTTCGACGGCCCGCTTTTCAAAAAATGACAAAATCGCATTCTGGTCGTCCGTCTTACGATATGCCTGACGATTCGGAGAAGCGTCAGATAAACAGCCTATAGGAACGCCACGGCAAGAACTGGCAGGAGTCCCGGAACCAAAAACCGTATCCTCAAATGAACTTCATGCCCGTTGCAAAGTGTAGCAAGAACACCAGGCGAAGCGATAAAAAGAAACCACAAATCAAGCCTCCCTCACACTGCTACCTTTTCATCCTTGCATCTTAAATGCATTCCCTTTTAT